CTTCAAACTCATTGGCCAGATCCACCTGTGATCCTCACAAGCTCATTCTCCTCCGTGCCTCAGCAGCGGAGGGTCCTGAACCGCGGGAAGCAGATGGCTGCCCCTCTTTCCTCGAAAAGAGAGACAAACGAGAGCGGAGCTTTTTTTTTTCTTCTTGGAAAAAAACGCTCAGTGCACGCCGATTGCCCCTCGGAGACATCGCGTGCATGCTCTTTGCCCAAACAAAACAACGCATAGATCGTGTGTGTCATCAGATGTTAAACAACGTCAACACGGATGCACACATCCTTAAATGCTTTGCTAGTGCTCGCCATAATGAGATAAATAGAGATCGCTCTTACCACAGAAATGCACGCTTCAAACAAAACAGTCAATGAAGACGAAGAAGAGAATGATGTGTGCTCCCGACGCCTATTTATACTATAGTCGCACCGGTAGTGACGTCATGGCTGTCGCCGGCCAACGAGTTGGTGTTTTTTCAATGTATGCTTCAGACAGGGGTCACGACGAGGTGTTCCCCATAGCGACCCCTAGAGGACGCAGTTCGAAGTTCCCATGAAGGAACCATACAAGCACTGTCACCGGCAGCAAGTTTAGTTTTACTTTTCTTTTTGTTTTGTTTATCTTTGAAAAGCTATATAAAAATCTTATCTTTGCTGTTTTAGTTATTAAGATTGACGTCGTTTGGAATTGGTAAAATGTGCTTGGAAAAAAATATGATCAGAATATCAACTTACATAATAATTATGCATGCACTGTATTTTTCCTCTTCTGCTGTCGAGGTAATGCAAGGAATGATGTGATTGGTTGAAGAAAGGTTTAAGAGGACCGTCCACGTATACTGTTTCAGGAATGACAAAAGCAAGTGTAAAAAATTACACGAGTGAATCCGCCAAATGTATCCGCTATTGACGGTGATAAGATAACTATAGCAATGGACCGTATGAACTATCTGACAAGCCGATGTCAAAACAGCTGTGCTTTAAGTGATGCAGAGTAAATTCAGAGTAACAAAACTACAGCAGCAACAAGTCTGTGTTGCCTTTAGCACCTTCTACAGGTAAAATAACTTACAGCTCTCCTTTGATGTGTCCTTTTTAGGCAATGTTTGAAAAATTTTATTTTTAAATTAAATCTAAAAAAATGCCAAAATATTTAATGCATTATTTAATTAGTATACCATTAATAATTTACTTAATTTGTAGTTAACTAGTTAAGTATTTAAATAATTTACCATACTAGGCTGTTGGTATCTGGTATTGTATCTTCAGTATTGTATCTTCTGCCATAAAGATGAAGATTGATATTTTGTTAAAGAATAAGCACTTTGTTTTTTTTTTTAATAAACAATTTATGTTCTATTATATGTGTTTTAACTACTTTTTGTATGTTGTATAACTATATATCTAGGTAACGAAGATATATTAACAAAATAATTTTTTAGAAGGGCCTCATCTATTAATTTTGCCTGGGGCCCCCACTTCATCTTGGTTCGCCTCTGGGCGGGCATCAAGGGAGCAAGCTAGTGAAACGTTGCATGCGCAAAAGAGAAGGTCTGCACAAATCCAAAAACTAATTTTAAATGCAAAATTGATTTTCGTGCGCTCGAAATACTTTCTTCTTCGCAAGACATACATTTTCTCCACAAAACTCAGTTCGCGCACATGCAAAACGCACTTTTGCGTACTCAAAATATGATCTTTCGCACGCAGAATTGTGGCAGAGATGTAATCCCATACAAAAATCTTACCATATCTGCCATATAAAATACTATAAGAATAGCATAGCCTTTGTTATTCCAAAGCCTGCCTGCAAGTCAGTACATGGAAGTTAATGCGAATGATTAATTATCTTAATTTGTTCGAAGTAACTTAAAATAAAAGTAGCTATATTCAATTCACTAATTAAATTTTTTTTCAAACAGTTAAAAAAAAATAACAGCACCCTGTTGTCTTGTTTGTATGGCAGGTTGACTGTTGTAAAGAATATCTGCAGTGACATTTTGGCAAAGTATGCAAAAAAGAACAACGAATGTTTAAATCAATCTTGAGTTTGTTTTGTTTAAAAATAAAAATTGAAAAGTAATAACACTAGAATACAAAGATTTTTGTGAATAGAAAAGCTTGGGGGCTTGGATTATTGATTTGGAGAGGAAGGTGTTAGAACCACTGCTCTAAAATATGTATAATCCTTCAGTTAATGGGCTCCCACAGAGTTGCCCCCACAACATCTGGCCTTGATGCGTGTCTAATGGTTGCTAGTTACTACGTTTATTATAAGCTATGTCTTGTGGGAACTGATTACTCGAGCTATTTTTTTCTAACAACGTACTATTTAGACCAGTGCCATGCTGCAGAGGGTGCTATTCGCTTTTCTCACTCTCAACTCTTTTCAAGGGTAACTCGCAATAATAACATACAGTACTCTGATCAAAAATCACAGAATTCATGCAATCCACGACAGCCTCAAAATAAAACGTGATCTCGGCGAAGTCTGTCCAGCCAGGAGGGATTACCTCAATCCGACTCCTAGAAGTAAA